TGGCAATATGGCAATATGGAGAGGATTTGTCCATGCCATAGTGAAGTTGCTGTTACTCATTTTTGAGAGCTCGGCTATGCATCTTTGCTGGAGGGCATGAAAGTTCTTAGCCCTACAGAAAGAATTTTCCCTTATGAATTAGCTAAAGGAAGGAGGAAAAATCCAGGTGGTGGATAAGTATATTTTTTTTTCTAGAAGAGGACTGAAAGGGAGATTAAATGATAATATGATAATATGTGTTATCCTGGATTATCAACATGCTCCATTCAAATGAGGATCCTATCCCTGATGGTAACATGCAGGAATGTGCCATGAGAGGACTTTGGTGCTCTCCTTTACCATCAATATAAAGCATTTCAATTTCATTCTAACTACTAAATTAAACCATAGTGTGTATTTCCTTTAGGGTCAGAAGACCTGGGTTCCAATCCTATAAAAAGTGTGTAGAAAATGGGACATGGGTCAGAACACAAAGGCAGAATTGAGTTTGAAACCTCTATTCTTTTAATTCCTGCTATATATCTTGGGCAAGTGACATTGTCATTCTTATCTACCATTTCCTCTTCTTTATAAGGGATTGTTGTAAATTATTTTTGAAACATACTCCAGATCTAATATTGCATTTCTCTGATGGACATATAATCTTAGGCCAGTCACTTAACTTCCTTCATCTTCCCCTTTTTTGTCTATTAAATGATGAGTGTGGTTTTAAGTGGTCTCTATATTCCACTTTAAGCCTAAAACCTATGATCAAAGAATTTATCTAAACCTGTTTGAAGCTATTTATTTTTTCCATTGTATATCATTTATTGGTTATAAGGACTTCTTTGAGTGATTATGAAGTCCAGAATACCAATAACTATTGAAGTTTTTTGGCCCACTGTTACCTTCATTTCTCCTTATCTGTCAAAAGTCTCCCCCCTTTTTTCCTAGATCATGTTTCGTACTCCCCTACTCCAACAACCTATGTGTAATTCTTGGTAAGTAAGGACTTGAACACAACAATTGTTGCCCATTATGTGAAATACTACTTCCATAAATTAGTTCTATAAGTGAGTCTGTCTTCATCTGGTTTATATCCTACAAATATAAGTATTTGTTTAACCTTGTCCATTTACTTTGTAAATTTATAGATGTTGCTCAACCACTACCATAACACATTCTCTTTTTTTAGTTTCTCGTCATACATCAGCTTCTTATGCATAGATTTTCCTGGGTTTCTGGGGTCATGGAATGTAAGCTAAGAGAAGAGACACTATCCTTCACAGGAAATCATGGACTTTCATGACATGGGTGTCATAGACACAAAAATTGCACTAATATGTTTTTTATCGGAAGATCTGGGATTGTAAAGGTTAGAGTAAAATACTGTCCTTTTCCAATAGCAGGTACTAATATACAGTTTTTTAACCACTGAAATTGATGGTAGGACAAAGATATAGGTAACTATTTACAGTATGTTGATTATGAAAAGTTCATAGAATAATCTAAAAGTCTCAATGTAATAGCAGGTAAATCTGCATCAAGAAAAAAAAACGTCATTGAGTTCGCTCCACATAATGATTAAAATCCTTTAAGAATCTTCTTCATATTTCTCCTCAAAATAAATGTTAAATTCAGTGTCTTAGGAAATAAGGTAAACTGGTACATTTCCTTTGCTCTCTTTTCAAGTATTACAGGGAGTAGTGTTTCTAGAATATACTATATATGCAAAGTCCTCAAAGACATTTAATAGAATTCTTTCTCCCCCTCTCTCTTTCCCTTTCTCCTTTCTTTCTCTCTTTTTTCTCTCTCTCTCTTTGTATGTATGTGTGTATATACTTTTTTATATATAGTTATTTGTATATGTCTATATTTGTCTATGGATATATATTATATACCAAAATTACATATAATTATGTAATAGGGAAATAAGATAAATCTACATATGTAAATCGTGCAAATCATTATATTTAATAAATTTATTATTTATATTTTATTATATTATTTAATATAAATAAACATTTGCATGTTTTCATAAATTATATATTTATTATATTATGTAGTATAGGCTATATACTACTATTACTACATATATTATATAATTTTATATTACATATAATATAGATGTGTCTATATATCACATCTATACATCTATTGTATATTAATATCATAGCATATAATTAGATAGTATAAAATAAAATTAATAGTATAAAATACTATGTGTATATGTATGTATGCATGTGTATGACAGGTGTTGAAATGTAAAAGGAAATACCTTCAAATGCAAAAAACACTTTCCCACTAGAGGGAGTCTGAGGCTTGAATAATTCAGCTACATTTGAAGAGACCATAAAATGAGTTTGCCTCAAGGGCAAAGAATGCTTTCATACTTTTGTCCCTACCTATTCATCTGCATAAGATACCTAAGGGAGAAAGAAAAGTAGACTCATCATCCTAAAGCAAAATATAATGCCTTATTGAAGAAAAGGGCTTTTGAACTAAAAAACATTGCTGAATCAAGACGGGGTTAAACTACTCTTTCATCCTAACTGGAAATGGCAAACAACCTAAGAGCAGAGCCTCTGAGAAAGTCAAGGGGAAAATTGGCTTCTGCTCATCCTAAGCTAAGAGGATTACTTTAGTTGAAAGGACACACAATGAGGACTTGTGTGCTAGTGTTAGGTGGCTAATCACCCTCAGAATTCTACACAGGACCCTGAAAATAGTAACATCCACCCCTCTGGGCACTCAGTCTGCCACTATGAAGAGTAGTTGGGCCAGTCAGCCCAACTGAAGCATTCTAGATGAAGAGGACACAGTAATACCTAGACACTAGTTAAAACTGGGAAAAATTTCAGCTGTCCATTGAAAAGCAAGGGAGTCCAATGGATCAATTTATATAGCAGAAACATCACACCTTGAGAAGAGCAAGTGACTGAGTTACCCTCGTATCCCAGTTTGGTAGCAGGAACCAAGTGACAGAATGACCTGCCGGACACTGGTCAGCAAAACTTGCCCCATTTCAAGGCAGCCTTCCTGGACCTATCCAGCAGCAATCAAACCCAGTAGGAAGATAATGCAGCAGCTAAACTTGCAGCTTAATCTAGTCCCTCAGGAAATTGACCCATGCAGAGGAAGAAGTGATGCCTTAGAGGATTCAGTGCCACTGATCAGCAGAATGACATTTATCATCAATACTAAGAACATTTCATGAGAAAGAAAAGGCAGTGAGTCCCTACATTTCCAAAATTGTGAATTGTCTTGGCCACATGTGCTTCTTTTCCTTTTACTCTACTACATTGCATTTTAAATGTGTCCACTCTCTCTTCCCTTAGACTTACTTTGCATTTGAGAAGCTTTGAACATGGACTTTTAGGGAAATATTTTAAAACTGCTTTTGCTAGGCTTTGCTAAGGAACAAACTCCCCTTACTTATTGTTAATGGGAAGCACACCAATGGGGGCTTGTGAGCTAGTATTAGTAGACCAGCAACCCTCAGGTTTATCCATAGGTCTCAGAAAGTAATAACATCCACCCATGTAGGAACTTAACCCACCACTATGAGGAGGAATTGGGCCAGTAAGCTCAGAAAGGAAAACATCATTGGTCTTCTGAAGGAAGTAACTATTGATAGTAGAATTTATCAGCAGTCTTTAATCATTTAGAGTTATTTTCCCTTATCTAACCTTAAAGAACTACTGCTGGTTCTAAGGGGCTACAGCACTGTACCCTTCCATCTCTGTAAGTGAAACCAGGTTTGTGGTCCAGACTAGGTTTATTCCTGGGGCACTCTGATCTCTAATGTGAGGAGCTGGGCTGCTTTTTCTTATATGCTTTAATTTCTCAAATCCCTGCCCTAGGTTTCCAGGAAAAAAAATTTGAAGATAAATTTTTGGATTATGTCCAGAGCTTCCCCCAATGGAGATTAACAAAGTACTCAATACACTATATAAATTAATTATCAGGCAGATATTTATTTCCTACACACAAAAGAAATTATAACACAAAAGACTCATTGTGTCCATTGACAAAACAACTTTAAAAAATTCAGCAACTTAAAACTATTATGATACTCTCTTGGGAGATTCATACTTAAACCTCTTTAGAACAAAGAACAGTTTGCAGAATTGCATATTGGGAGTTTTTCCTTTCACCTTGGTTCTCAAATATTGAAACAACTCCTGCTCTCTGGATAGCTACTTGTCCTCCTCAGATCAGGAAAGAAAAAATAAGCCATAGAAGACATAGCACAAAACCCAGATTCAGGTTGACTAGACAGGGTTTAAGCTTTAGATATCACATGCTTATGGTCTCTTGGCAGTCAGGGTGGAGGCTACTACAAACTACTCCACACCCAACTCTGGTAATGAGTGACTCAAAATAGAAGCCATAAGGGATGAAATCCCTGAGTCTAAGCTTACTCCATTTTAAAATTTCACTAAATCATCAACAGTTCTAGGTCTAGAAAACATTTACAAACTGCACACCCTTTAGTGTTGTCACATACAGAAGCACCCAAAGTTCCCACGTGGTTGACTGGAAACAGATAGCACATGCTCTTAACAATGGTCTCTACAGGTACATGTTCTAATTCAAGCCCACTATTAAATTTCCATTATATTTATATGAGTTATTCTATTGGTTCTACTCACTTTCTGCTATGGAACTTATTAGGTCATCAAAGTCTTCCCAAGTTTCTCAGAAGTCATCTCATTTCTAATATCATTTTCCCCACACTGAAACTTTTGTAGCTTTAGTATACATGAACCGGTAAAGAGCAAATACATTACCTTACGTGTAACGCATACTTTTGCAATTGGGTGATTTCTATATAGTTTATATTTAGGTTCCATGTAAATATTGTTTTTCCTAATAGAATGTAAGTTCCTTGAGGTCATAAATGTGTGAATGTGTGTGGTCCTGTTCCTAGTTCCTAACACAGTGCCTTGGATATTTATAAATGCCTGTTAATTAATTGATTAATTTATTCTCTTTTAGGGAAGGAGTCTACTGTCTGAATGGAAAGAGATAATCAAAGTTTTGTGACCACATTCATCCTTATGGGGATTCCCCATGCACCAGAACTAAACACTGCCTTATTTGGTATTTTCTTAGTGATCTATGCACTAACTCTGGTGGGGAATCTCTTTATCTTGCTGGTGATTAGAGTAGACTCTCACCTCCATACTCCCATGTACTACTTCCTGGCCAATCTTTCCTTCATTGATTTGTGGTTCTCCACTGTCACTGTGCCCAAGATACTCATGGGTCTTCTTTCCTCAGATGGTGATGCTATCTCCTTTCATAGTTGTGTGGCACAGCTCTATTCTTTCCACATTCTGGGGAGCACTGAGTGTTTTCTCTACACAGTCATGTCTTATGACCGCTACCTGGCCATCACTTATCCCCTGCGCTATGCTACCATGATGAGGGGGAAAACCTGTGCCCTTCTAGCTGGAGGCACATGGCTCAGTGGTGCTATCCACTCAGCAGCCCAGACTGCCCTGACCTTCCGCCTGCCCTATTGTGGCCCCAACAAGATCCAGCATTATTTCTGTGATGCACCCCCCATTCTCAAATTGGCCTGTGCAAACACCTCAGCAAATGAGATGGTGATCTTTGTCAACATTGGCATAGTGGCCTCTGGATGTTGCTTCTTGATTTTCCTCTCTTATGTGTCCATTGTTCGAGCTATTTTGAAGATCCGCACAGCAGAGGGCAGACACAAAGCCTTCCAGACTTGTGCTTCCCATTGCATTGTGGTCCTCTGTTTCTTTGTTCCTGGTCTCATCGTTTATCTAAGACCTGGCTCCATGCATGCTGTGGATAGAATTGTGGCCATTTTTCAAACAGTGATCACACCCTTGCTGAATCCCATAGTGTATACATTGAGGAATAAAGAAGTAAAAACAGCTTTGCTTAAACTAAAAGGTCAAGGAAAGTTTGTGCAAATTAAGTAAGACCTGGAAATGAGCTCCTTTTTTCAGTAAAATGAATTTTTAGGTTTTTTATGAATGGCTTATTTGTGTCATGGGGTAGTGGAAATACTTCTGATATCTAAATTTTTGCTACCAATCCACTCTGTGGCCTTGGGTTGTCCTGTACAGACCTCATTTTTGTCATCTGTAAGATTTGTGTGGAAGATGTAGACTAACTGATTTCTAAGTTTCCTTCCCACTCCTATTTTTTATGCTTCCATAATAGATTAAATTAGAGAATCCTGGAATCAAATTTATACATACATGTGTATATATGTACATACACACATGCATATATATGTATATAAGTATATATGTACGTACACTCACAAATATATATACATATGTTTTTGCATATGTATAAATACTCCGTGTATGTGTGTGTGTGTGTGTGTGTGTGTGTGTGTGTGAGAAAGAGAGAGAGAGAGAGAGAGAGAGAGAGAGAGAGAGAGAATGTATGCCTTGGACTTAGAGGTATGGCCATCCTAGGTAAAAATTATGAAGAAAGTGAAGATTTATTTAATTTTTTTGCACCATCCCTATTGAAACTCCTTTGTTCCTCCATGTACTAAATTGCTTCCATGCCCAGGCTCCTCATACCCTAATGTTATTTCTACCATATTCAAATTTACCTTCATACAAATGGCAAATAAGGATTTGAAGAAGTAAATTACTGAAATTAATTCAGACTAATTTGTAAATTGCTAGGAAAAATTTAAAGTGTTACCCACCCAGGGACATTGCTATTGGCACAAAGAATAGCCATTTAATTCAGTGTTGTCAGTATTTGAGCTTCACTTTCTAAGAGTGTGGTTGGCTATGTCTCCTCTTAAAGGTCTAGGCTACTCCCAAAGAGTTGGGTATATCTTTCTCAAATACCATCAGCCTAAGCCCCCATTCAAGTGTATTTCCCCTTCTGTTAGCTGTTAGGAAAGGAGAAGTCAGCAAACAAAAGGGCAAGGGTCTAGATAAGTAACATGTTTTGAATTTCCTTCCCCAGTTCTAGCTACATAATAAAAGAGGTTCCTTTTCACCATGTGATTGATAGAATCAAACCAGTTACAGAATGTACATGTGTGTACTCCAAAGTTCATGTGTGGTTTGCATCAGCTGAACATCGTGCAAGCTAATAAGTATTGGGCTTATCAGCCAGTCTCCCATTTTGTTAGGGAAGAAGAATCATTTTTATGTAACCAGACAGTGAAAAAAGAAAACTAATGACAAAATAGGTAAAAATCAATTCAATTTGTATTTCTATTTCCTACTAAGAAATCTACATGTATATGTATATGTATATATTTCTTTTCATCTAATATCTAATAACATATGCTCATTCTTTCACCTGCTTTTGTAAACTTGCCAGTAAACTTAATCATTGTGAACTGTTTTAACCTAGGCTTTCTTCCTTAGAATTTGGGGCTTCTGAGTGGCTTATTACTCATTTTCCTCAGCATTCACAGAGTCCACACCAACCTCAAAGCTGACAGCCTCCTTCTTAGAGTCTGTGGACACTTAGCCTGGATCTTTGCCAAGAATATACTCTAGGGGAAAATTACTGGCCTCAGGTGGTTTTTCATTTCCCCTTTCCATTGGGCAGAGTGTCTTTTTCTAGAACAATCTCTTCTGTACCTCCATTCAGCTTCTCTGTTAGAATGTGGGAAACATGATTTAATAGATGGTTATTGATTTGTTTCTCTTTCAAACCATTCAGGAACATCATACTGTGGCTCCATGCTTTGTTGGGAATCTATAGTGTCCTCTGACTCATTAGGTGTTGAATCATTTTCCTTTGTGTTGCAATATTTATTCAAAAATGCCTGAACTTTTTATCTCATTGGGAGACAATATTCCCTTCTGTCATTAATAGCTTCCTTTATCATTTATCACCTTATTCTTATGGTCTTAATTTAATTTTCTTCCTCTTAAAATCTATTTTAATTTTAGTTCCTCCACTCCCTGATTTTCCCCTGTCGATCATCTGTGGATGATGGTTTCTCTAGGGATTAGCTCTCATCAAAGTGTCTCAGCCACCTCTCAAAATAGACAAATTCATGGTTTACCTGTCTTGATCCAAGTGACTTGGGGATAGGGTCACATTTGGGCAGGCATCAAAATATGTCAAGAACTTCTTATCTTTCCCCTAAAACCTCCCCTACTCCTGCCTTCTCACTTACTATAAAAGGCAACACCACCAGCTTAGTCCTGAGTCATCCTGGATTCCTCACTATCACTCATATTCCTCATATACAAGTTGTTGCCAAGGCCTGTAGATTTCCACCTCTTCAGTACCTCTCCAATACTCCCTCTTCCCCCAGTAGATTGTAAGCTCGATGACAGAAAGAACTGTCTCCTTTTCTTATTTGTAACCTTAGCACTTACCACAGTACCTGGCACATAAGAACTTAATAACTGTTTTGAATTGAATTGAATCAATTTGAAAACCATCTAGTTATAGCTCTCTTAGGATCAAAAATGGAGAGTACATGGGTACATTCCAGAAAGGGATAAAACAAGCAATAGTCAGCGTATTCCAAGTTGGCTCTATTTTAAAAGTTAATGCATAAAGAACTGGGTTTGAATCCTGCTTTACACATTAGCTATGTGAGTGTAGGCATATTAAATCACCTCTCTGAGCCTCAGTTTTTCAATCTGTAAAATAAGAAAGTTGGACCAGATAATCTTAAAGATCTCTTTCCGCTCTAAATCTATGATTATATAATGTTTTTAAAAATGAAACCCCTTTCATATTAGTTGTCCTATTGTTAAAGTTAGAGTTGGGAGAGCGGGTTCAGGTGTGAAAGAAGTCACATAGACCTTCTCTGTAGCCATTGGTGATGAGTTCAGGGTGGTGTGAAGAATGTTGGAGTGCTACCTGAAATGATGAGGGATAGATATATGGGTCTTAGTGTCCTGAAAGAATTCACTTGGACAGTCTCCACGTAAAAGAAAGGCATTTATTGGGGTGATGCACCCAAGTGGGCCTGCTCTCTGTGAGGTAGAGCCCATACTCCATGTGGGAGGCAGAGCATAGGCCACAGGCCCTGCTCCCTAAGGAAAAAGTGTGGACCTCTGCTTCCTGTAGGAGGCAAAGGCAGTTAGCCAGGTCAAAGGTATGGTTTAAATACAATTTTATGGAAGAGGGAAAAGGGGACAAGAGAATGGGAGGAGCAAGCATGGCTCAAAAATGCCTGGAATATCAGGTAGTAAAGAGGTGATAAGCAAAGAGAACAGGAAAAGGGAGGGGAAGAATTGTTCTGGAATTGAGGGTGCTTTGTGAAAACACACAGAGGGGTTTTAAATGCATAATCTTCTTTGATCATTTTTCTGGCCGGACTCATCCTGGATCTTATCTCCTATCTCATGTCCTGCTTGCTCCATCTGCCTCAATCACTTTTTTCTACCTCAATGTAAATTAATGGAGAAAATTAATAGTGATAAAAAGAATTCAGATACACTTTTAAATGAATTTCCATTTCATTATTAACATAATTTGTTAAATTTGAAAACAGTCATATACATATGTGTGTAACATTTATTCTGTTCATACAAAAAGTGCTTGTTTATTTATGAATTCACACCTAGCAATAATTCTATATCCTACCCCCACCCTCAGGTTAGAACCATTGAATTAAATTGGAATCCCTGGTGAATGAGTTACAAATAATCTTCAGAAAATTAAGTAGAAATCAGGAAAAGCATTTAGAACCAGAAGAGGGAATAAAGAATGCCCTTAGGGATGAGGGTGATATTTGCTACTTTTCAATTCATTCAAGAAATACTTTAAAACCAATTTCAGAAAAATCTCCTAAAATGCTTCTAGACCTCCAGGTTCCAGAGATTAAGAGATAATGTGGCTCATTCTTGTGAGGTACTCACATAAAATAACATGAGATTACGGAAGTATAGAAGTTGTATGAAAAACAGATCCATATTCACATTTGAAAAAAATTCTCAGTTGTTTTGTCTTTGTTTTCCTGTTGAGCAGGGAGCTCTGGGATCCAGAGTGCAATCCCTTTCCCCAGGGCCTGTACTCCAGTTTAAGTTCTCATTCTTTCTCTTCAGGCCCATTTCCTCTCCTTCCTCCCCTTGTTCAACCTTGCTTTAACAATGAGTGACCCTTTTTTCCTGCACTGGAACTGTGTGCCTTTTCTCTTTGAACAATGCCACATGGTCTAGTGTTTCCTTCTGTCCTATAAGTAGTGAAGACTCTAGAAAAGTCTAGACAATTGAAATCAGAAAGAGGTGAGTTCCCAGTCTCATTAGATGGTCTGTTTTCTAAGCATTCTTTCCTTTTTTCATTAAGATATGCAGAATTTATTTATTTTTATTATTAGTTATCTTGATTTCCTTGGGCAAATAACTCATTGTTAATAGGGAACCAAATCACATTCAATTATTTGAAGAGGTATTTAGCATACCTACTAAATGCATGGCTCTTTTCTATGCACTAGGGACATTTTAAAGTTCACAAAAATGAATAATAGTCCCAGCTTTAACAGAGCTTCCATTTCTATTTGAGGATGTTGTATTCCACAAAGATAAGATAGTGATTTCCAGACACACACATTTACATGCCCACGCGTGCACACACACGAACATATAAGATAAGTCTATGGTGTAGGAAATTCCTCCTTCATCCCAGTTATCAGACTACTCTGGGTTGTGTTTGATGAAATCCTCCATGATATCTTAAGGACAGTCAGAAATGAGATTGGAGTCCTACAGGATTAGAAAACAAACATCCCAGATGAAATATATTTCTTCCCTCTGATAGGTTCACCTATACAACTAGGTTAGTCTTTTCTCCTATTTTTCCTGATTGCCTATTTTTTTTTGGGCAAAGTATAGTTGATACAGCCCTGAACTTATAGTCAGAAGGTATGGGTGCACATCCTGCATACTCCAACTTTTTAGCTATATCTTTAACTTTTCTGTGACTCAGTTTCCTTATTTGTAAAGTGAAGATGACAGTATAAGTACTG